CCGGTGCCCGGGCTGGAGACAATGCAGCCGAGGAAGGGATCTGGAGGGGGCTGGGACCGGAAGACTTCCACACACGAGTAGAACGGCAGCAGTGGGGCGGGGGCGCAATATCTGGCCTTGCGTGGGACTGAAGTTCCCGGGCCTGCCCCCAGCGCGGTTGGTGGTGGGCTGGGGGATGGGGGTAGCGAAGTGATAGCCTTTTTGGGAACTCACGTTCAGAGAATCTCACCAGTTCACCTATGCCGTCGCCATCTTGCCCCGTCTCTTCAATATTTAAATTTTATCATGTCTTCTTCATCTATTAGCTGAACTACTACAGAAAGAAACTTTTGTTCACCTCAGGAAGAATTGAGAGCCTTCCAGCCCTTCCCTGTTCCTCCCCCTCATCCTGTTGCTTCTCCCTCCATGTTGGTGGTGGGTGACGTGTTCTCTCAGTCACCTGGGCTGAGAGAAATCTACTTCTGTAGTTCCCAAGCTGGTTGGCTCATGCTTCATCTAGGAAAGGCAGGGGACGATAGAGTTGTAGGTGTAATAATGGCTAAACCAGGGCATAAAGCAAGGATTAAAAAATTCTTCTTCCAGCCTCCTTGGGCCTGAAGCTGTCATACTTTTCAAAAGTATGACAAAAGGGGTGAGCTTCTCAACGAGAAGAGGAGAGCAGCAGTGCCCTGGCACACTTGTTTGCTGCTGATGAGAGCTTAAAATATATCCAACGGGTAGTGGAGTCTGCCAGTACTTTTGACATCCCTATTTATTAGTAAACTTCTGTTTTATTCCACAAAGTTGTACTTAATATGTGATAGTTATTGTTGGGCATATATAGCATATTTTAGTAGTTTTAAAATACATGAATCTCTGTTTTACAGGCTACTGATGCACTAAAGAAAATGTATATGGAATTTCCTCAACTATACAATAATAGTATTGTCTGCTCTTTCTTGCCAGAAGTTATCTATAAGGTAACATTCAGTGTTTTTCTTGTACATAATATTAAGTTCTCTGATGGAGATAACAGGCATGGGCTATGTAGCATAAGATAGATGCCTGTTAAACTGAGCTGAATCAAGGTCACAGTTGAGAAGCTCCTCTGTTAAATTAGCATGAGAAATTCCAGGAGGGGAATGTACTCATACCCCACTTTAAAATGCCATGATTCCTCATCATCCCCTTCTTTTGTGTTGTCTACAGGCTCATTCATGTTACTGGGGTAAAATTATCAGAAGAGAAAATAATTATGTGACTCTACTTCTTTAATAGTAGAACATACCTTTAAAATTAAGGTGTACGTAAAAATAGGGTCATATAATGAACACACTTTTAGCCATGGTCCAGCTTATTTTATCATACCCTCACTGATCCTCCCCAGTGTAATCTTGAAGCAAATCCTATTATTCCATCCATAACAATTACACCTCATATCTTTAAAAAGTGCTGCCTTTTAAAAAACATAGCCACGATACCCTTGTCCCATCTGAAAACTCTTAGTAGTTCTTAGTATCATCAGTTATCCAGCCAGTGTATACATTTTCACTTGTCTCAGATATGTTTTATATGGTTTTTTGTTTGTTCGTTTTTTGTAAATTGTTCATTTGAATACAAGGACCCAAATAAGGTCTGCATGTTACAATTTTAAATCTTAAAAACTGCAGGTTCTTTCTCTCTTTTTCTTCTTGCGTTGTATGTACTGAAGAAACCAAAATTGTTTGTTTCCCAAGTCTGGATTTTGCTGATTATGCCCCGAGGTAGTTTAGTACATTCTTCTCTTTATTTCCTATAAATTGGTTGTGAGAGCTAGAGGCTTCACTTGATCAGGTTAGAGTTGATTATTCCCAGCAAGATAACTTCATAGGAGAGGATATTTTTCCATCAGGAGGCACATGGCATCTGATTGACTCTTGTATTTCTATTCGTTGCTGTTGAGGCTCAATGGCAAGACCTGTCAATTTACTAGGGATTGCAAAATGTTGCTGTTTTATTTCTATTATTTCTTCTTGTATTAACTAGAATAAATCTGTAAAAAAACTTCTAGTGCTGGACATGATAGTTCATGCCTGTAATCCTAATATTTTAGGAGGCTGAGGTGGAAGGATCACTTGAGCCCAAGAACTCGAGACCAGCCTGGGCAACAGAGCAAGACTCCAACTCATAAAAAAATAATCATCATACAAATTAGCCAGGTGAAGTGGTGCATGCCTGTAGTCCCAGGTCCTCGGAAGGCTGAAGTGAGATCGCTTGAGCGTAGAAGTTCAAGACTGCAGTGAGCCGTGTTTGTGCCACCATACTCTAGCCTGGATGACAGGACAAGACACTGTCACAAAAAAAAGAAAGAAAGCAACCTCTCCTCCTCTATTATTTAGTTACCCAATAGGCAGGATAAATGTTTAATCTTTCCCTTTATTTACGAGTTTCCAAAATAATGAGTTCTGTGGCATTCATCAGCAGTGGCCAACAAAGCATATGTTGAAAATCGTTACCATGAGAGTAGAGCCTATCCAGGTAGAAGCCATCGCTGAGATGAATAGGATTGTGGAGCTGTCAGACATTTGGAACAGTGATTCCCAAGCTTCCTTGCCCACAGAGGCCTTTAACATGTGTGGGAGACATTCTCCAGAGGACCAGGAGGACACAGACTGAAGGAACGCCATCCATATCTCTCCATTTCTCCTGTGCCCTTTCCCCCTTCTTCCTTCACAGTCCCTTCTCTCCTTCCTGTCTACCTCGCTTCCCCACCCTCTCCCCATCTCCACAGCTCTTCAGCTTTCTGCTCTGGTAAGGATCAGAGCTAACTTGCTCATCTTCAAGTGATCATGATTCCATCCTCATTGAGTTCTAATTAATTCTCTGGCCAGAATTTAAATCAATATCCAATTATAAGTTTATTCCCGTGACATTATTAAAATTTGAGCCCGAGATGATAATTTCCTCATTTTAAAGACAGAATTGTCGTTCTTTCAGGATTGTGAAAAAGTATTCTCATGTATACTACATATTAAATGCTTTATGTTCATCACATTATTTTTTCAAAGGGCTTATGGTAGAGGACTTATTTAGTGGAGACTGGGACAGAGCACTGACTATGACCACCTCACCTGAATCTAAACTAATGAGATGTGTTAAACTTAAGATATGAGCATTATTTTATTTCCTGAAATTCCTTTTCAGATGAGACAAACAGATCAGAATGTAGTAACAGCTTTAACTCACAGACCTTGGAGCCTTAGCCATACAGGAGATGGGAAACCACGCTATGACTCTTACTGGAAACACTCCATGTTTGTGATAATGGACATTTTGCTCGATTGGAGCATGCATAATATCTTGTGGTACCTGTGTGGAATTTCAGCTTTCCTTATGCAAAAGGATTTTGTATCTCCGTAAGTTGGAAAGTTTTTATTTCTCTTAACACATTTCCTGAATGCTCTTCTTGGAAAGGAAGGATTAATGGAGTGGCCAATGTAGATTGGCTTTGACCTGCAAAGCTCATCATGCCTCTACACTGTAATGCCACTAGCTTCTTAGGTGGGAAGAGTTCAGCCTTATCTTACTGTTTTCAAACCAGGCTGATCAGATAATATTGGTTTTTTAGTGCCATGTTATAGAAAGAAAGAAAAAAAAGAATGCCAAACTCTGCTGAGAAAGGGATTTTATTTCTTGTGACTGGCTCCTATCGAAAACCAGTATGGGATCCCAGGGATCCTGTGGGCACCAACCTCACCCCTACCATCTTACATTATAGGCTTGGCCCCATCTCTTCCAAGAAACTTTCCATTTTCTAACCTGCTAGGAATCTCTGAGTTTTTCTTTTGGCAGTTCTATGGCACTATTTGTTTCAGCTGATTAGAGTTGTACGTCTAATATTTTCAAGCATGTATGCATTCAATAAATATTTGGCAAGTACCTCATGATTGCAAGGTTCTGTATTAAGAAACTGAAGAGCCAGTGGTGAAAAAAACAAAGCCATAGCCTCTGCCCTCATGAAGCTTATAGCCAAGTGGTAAGGAGAGATGATAATCAAATAGAAATCCAGTGAATATAAAGTTACCACTAAGATACATGCCATGTAGGAGACCATAGTGTGCATAAACGGTGTAACCTGACCTAGTCTAGGTAGCCAGAGAAAGCATCCCCAAGGAAGTGACAGTTCAGCTAAGATGGGGGGGTGGTGTGGGAACTGGGAAGGCAGGATCCACATCAGGGCAAAGCGTGCAGAAATGCTGGGGCAGGAAGGAACGTGGTTCTTGCAAAGAACTGAAAGAAAATTAATATTCTATAGCACAGAAAAGAAGCAGGGAGTACAGTGAAGATGAGGCCAAAGAGACAGGTAGGGGCCAAGCCAGGCTCCCACAGTGACTGTGCTGCGGACATTTGGGAAAGGTGGTGATCGTTAGCTGCTGAAGAGATTTAAGCTGGGACAATGGGGAGAAGGTTCTGCTGGGTTTTGGAACACCCTCTCTGATCAGCTAGGAGGTTCTTTCTGGTCACTGTTGATTCACAGTGAATGCCAGACTTAGTGACCATTACAGATTCCAGGACCAACTGGTTATTGTTCTAACAGGATTGTTGTTTCCTCTTTCTCCAGGAACTACTTGAAGAAGTGGTCAGCTAAAGGAATCCAGGTTGTTGCTTGGACTGTTAATACTTTTGATGAAAAAAGTTACTATGAATCCCATCTTGGCTCCAGCTATATCACTGACAGCATGTTGGAAGACTGCGGACCTCACTTCTAGACTTTTACCCTTGGGAGGAAACACGGGTTCAAAAACTGCCTGCAGGCCTCGTGCAAGGCTATCAGAATATCCTATGTGCTAGCCCGGGCCCTGGGGGATCAGGTGGCTCACACAAGCAATAATTGGTCATTGCATTTTTTACTTGAACCAAAGCAAAACCCAGTGTTGCCACCATGCTCCATGGGATGCCTGAGTTCACTTGTTGCTCTTGAAAATCTGGGTCTGAAAAAAGGCACAACAGCCCCTGCCCCAACCTAGCTGAGGCATATGAGACCCAGTGAGGATAAGCACAGATTGAGTTGTACAATTTGGGGGTGCAGATATAAATGCATGGAACGTGCATGATAACTCAGAGCCGACATTTTAAAACTTGCCACACTTAAGTAATATACTTATTTTAAGTATTTGAATTCAGCTATGTTAACAATGTACTGTAGACATCAAACTTATGGCCATATTAATAAAATCATTAAAAGGAGCACTAAAGGAAAACCGTGTACCAAGTATCAAGTATAAGGAATTTGGGGAAGCCATGGGCAAGGCTTCCATGTGCAGCAACCAAAACTGTGAGGAACTCTTGAAACCAGGCTCAGGAATTGTTTACATCTTGAATCAACAGCTGCAAAAGACTAAGGGGCATTGTTGCTGTTTTCCAGGCTTAGGTACAACAGCTGATCCCAGGCAATTAAAACCGGAAGAAATGCAAGAACATCTGGGCTTATCCTCATTTTACAAATGAGAAAACTAAAACCTGTGAAAGGGAAGGGGTTGACTCAAAAAACAGCTTAAAACAGGGTGCTGTTGCTCATGCCTGTAATCCCAGAAACTCAGGAGGCTGAGGTGGTATGGTTGCTTGAGGACAGGAGTTCCAGATAACCTGGGCAACAAAGTAAGACTCCATCGCCACAAAAAAACTAAAAAATTAGCTGACTTGGTGGCTCATGCCTGTAGTCCCAGCTACTCAGGAGGCTGCAGTGAGCCAAGATCATGCCACTGCACTCCAGCCTGAGTGACAGGTGATGGGTGAGCTCTGGCTCTAAAAAAAAAAACCTTGTGATATAGCAGAGCCCGAGCTCACAATTAAAATTTTTGTTTGCGGCCAAGCTCAGTGGCTCAGCCTGTAATCCCAGCGCTTTGGGAGGCCGAGGTGAGTGGATTGCCTGAGCCTGCAGGTTCGAGACCTGCATGGACAACTTGGCGAGACCTCATCTCTACAATAAATCAAAAATTAGTCGGGCATGGTAGCGCGTGCCTGTAGTTCCAGCTACTTGGAAGGCTAAGGCGGAAGGATCTCCAGAGCCCAGCAGGTCGAGGCTTCAGTGGCCACTGGCACTCCAGTCTGGGTGACAGAGTGAGACTCCAACTCAATAAAAAAAAAAATTTTTTTTTTTGCTTGCAATTGACCAGAAACTGTAAAAGTGTTTTAACATAGATTATCTTATTCAGCCCTCCCAAAAATCTTAGAGAAGTGTCATCATTCTATTTACTGTTGAGGAAACTGAGGCACTGAGAGTTAAAGGCACTTACCAAGGGTCTCCCGAGTCTGTGGTATAATTGGTATTCAAATACAGGTCCGTCTTCCACCAGAGAGACTCCTTTACCAAGACTGCCTTTATAATGCAGAGCCTGTGATCCCAACCCTGTGCTCTTGCCCATGAACTTCAGGGCTTTATTGAGAACTTAAGTAGAAATACTTAAAATGAAGTTTGTTTGTTTGTATGGCAAAACTGTCTCCTAGCTCATCCCCACCCACCTTTCAACCCCATCTGTGGCTTTATCCCAGGCCTACAACTTAGTCACAGTTTCCCTGTGATGGGTCACCAGCTTCACATGTGCAGCAACCAGTCAGTGTGAGTTTGGAAGGCCACCAGTCCACACAGCTAGGTGCCAGTGAGGAGCAAACCAGTAGTTGCTGTTGGCAGGGGTTTGGGATGTTTTCAATCAATATTTTTAAAAAATCTTGGATTTTAAAATTAGCAAAGTTTTGTTCATTGAATGGGACAAATGTCTAAACTGCATGTAGTATACCGTATCATGACTGGATTGAAAAGAGGGAGAAAAAGTGACCAAAGAAGACACATTTGGCCAGGCATGGTGGCTAATGCTTGTAATCCCAGTGTTTTGGGAGACTGAGGCAGGAGGATTGTTTGAGGTCACATCTTCTCCAGCATCTTTTTCACTGCATCTTCTCCAGGAGTAGTTGTTTTTTTGAATTATGGATAATGGCCATCCTGACTGGAGTTAGATGGTATCTCAGTGTGGTTTTAATTTGCATTTCTTTGATAACTAGTGAGGATAAGCTTTTTTTCATGTATCTGTTGGCTGCTCCTATGTCTTCTTTTGAGAAGTGTCTATTTATATCTTTTGCCCACTTTGTAATGGGGCTGTTTGTTTTTTTCTTCTTGGCACATTTGAGTTCCTTGTAGATCCTAGATGTTAGGTCTTTGCCAGACATACAGTTGGCAAATATTTTTTCCTAGTCTGTGGGTTGTCTCCCCACTCTCTTGATGGTTTCTTTGGCTTTGCAGAAACTTGTCAGTTTGATGAGGTCCCACATGTCTGTCTTATCTCTTATAGTATGGGCACTTGGGGCTTTGACCAGGAATTGGTTGCCAGTTCCAATTTTCATAAGGATGTCTCCTGCGTTTTCTAAGGTTCTTACAGTTTGAGGTTTTACGTTTAGGTCTTTGATCCATTTAGAGCCTGGGCGACACAGTGAGACCCAGTCTCTACAAATTAAACACACACACACATCTGTGGACTCAAAGCAGCCCTCAGGTTCCTTCAAAGAGTGCACGGCAGCAGGTGATAAGGAAGAATCTCTTGCAGGCAATATGGAGTTGACATCCCCTTTGTTGTGTGAAGACCTCTAGGGGGTCAGATCTCTCAACCTTCATCGCAAGTCCATTTTGCCCTGGATTCAAATGAAGGATTTAGGTCCTAGCTAAAGTGGTTGAAATATGATCATAGCCATCAATCTCCAAATGAATCTTATATAATCAAGAAAGTAGTGGATTTCAAAGAATGGAGAATTTGGATGACAGAAGATGTTAACAACTACTGTGAAGCACTTCCTGTGAGGCTTAGAATAGAGTTAGAAACAAGATTTGGAATCAGAGAAAGCCAAGCCTGAATTCCTGATCAGTAACTGGGTAGTTACATGACCTTTGGCAAGTCGTTTGATTTATCCGTAAAATAGGGATAGTATTATTGCCACCTCAGGGTGACTGTAATTAATTAAATGAAAGTGCATGTAAAGTCTTGTTAATTAACATTTATTGCCTACCATTTACTCGACACTTTAAGTTTTAAAACAAAGTTTATTAGCAAGAAAAAAAGGAAAAAGGAAGTTTCAGTGCTGAAAGACCTGCCATGGGCGAGTTTTTTCATACCATATTTTTTTATCCAGTCGTCTCTCGATGGGCAATACAGTTGGTTCCATGTTTCTGCTATTGTGAATAATGCTGCAGTAAACGTGTGTGCAGGTATCTTTGTTATGGAGTGATTTGAGTTCCTCCGGATATATTCCCACTAAGGAGATTACAGGGTCATATGGAAGGTCGATTTTCAGATCTTTTAGGAATCACCAAACTGTTTTCCACAGAGGTTGTACTAGTTTACATGCCCATCAACAATGTGGAAGTGTTCCCTTTTCGCTGCATCCTCTCCAGCATCTGTTGTTTTTTGAGTTATTGATGATGGCTATCCTGACTGGAGTTAGGTGGTACCTCATTGTGGTTTCTTTGCATTTCTTTGATGATTAGTGAGGCTGAACATTTTTTTCATGTATCTGTTGGCTGCTCGTATGTCTTCTTTTGAGAAGTGTCTATGCATATATTTTGCCCACTTTGTAACGTGGCTGTTTGTTTTTTTCTTTTCGGCATGTTTGAGTTCCTTGTAGGTCCTAGATGTTAGGCCTTTGTCAGATATACAGTTGGCAAATATTTTTTCCCGGTCTGTGGGCTGTCTCCTTGCTCTCTTGATGGGTTTCTTTGGCTCTGCAGAAGTTTGTCAGTTTGATGAGGTCCCACTTGTCTATCTTATCTCTTATAGTATGGGCACTTGGGATTTTGATCAGGAATTGGTCACCAGCTCCAATTTCCTTAAGGGTGTCTCCTGCATTTTTCTAAGGTTCTTATAGTTTGAGGTTTTACGTTTATGTCTTTGATCCATTTAGAGTTGATTTTTTTGTGTATGGTGATAGGTAGGGGTCTTGTTTTAATCTTCTGCATGTGCTCAGCCAGTTTTCCCAGCACCACTTACTGAATAGGTTCTCCTCTCCCCAATGGTTAGTGCTGGAAGCTTTGTTGATGAGTTGGTTGAGAAACTGAGGTTTTGCTTCTGGAATCTTTATCCTGTTCTATTGGTTCATATGCCTATTCTTGTACCAACACCAGGCTGTTATAATGAAGCTTGAAGTTTGGGAGTGTGATGCCTACCACTTTTTTTTCTTTTCTTTTTCTTTCTTTTTTTTTTTTTCTGAGGATTGTTTTGGTTATTCGTGGTCATTTATGTTTCCGTATACATTCCTGTATTGTCATTGTCATTACCAGGTCTTAGAAAAATGCTGCTGGTAACTTAATGAGTATTGTGTTAAATCTGTACATTGCCTCAGGTAGGAAGGACATCTTAATAATGCTTATTCTTCCAATCCATGAGCATGGAATATTTTTTCATTTGTTTGTGTCATCTTTGATTTCTTTGAGCAGTATTTTGTAGTTTTCATTATAAAAGTCTTTGACTTCTCTGGTCAGGAAGATGCCCAGGTATTTGATTTTTTTTCTGGCTATTGTGAATGGGATTGTGCTTTTTATTTGGGTTTGTTTGTTTATTGTTGGTATATAGGAATACGACTGGTTTTTGCACATTTATTTTATACCCTGAGACTTTGCCAAAGTCTTTTATCAGTGCAAGGAGTTTTTTGACAGATTTTCTTGGGTTTTCGAGGTATAGAATCATGTTGTCTGCAAAGAGATAACTTGACTTCCTCTTTTCCTATTTGGATACCCCTGATTTCCTTCTCTTGTCTGATTGCTATAGCTAGGACTTCCAATACTATGTTGAACAGGAGAGGTGAGAGTGGGCATCCTTGTGATGTGGATTTTTCAGGTCAGCCTGGACTTTGATAGTGTCAGTTCAATAGGTTGACCAGCCAAGCTCCAGAGAGGGTCGTCAAGGAGCTGGTAAGCCCAGCCCCAGAAGTGTCAGCTCTAATGGGCTGGCAAGCCAAGCCCTGAGAGTGTTGCAATTCGGTGGGCTGGTAAGCCTTGCCCCTGGATTGTTGGCTGTAATGGACTGGCAAGCCAAGCCCTGAGAGTGTTGCTGGTTTGGTGGGCTGGCAAGCCCCTGAAGTGTCTCAGCTTTGAAGTTTTACCTTCTGGCAGCTCTCCTGATTCAGCCGGCTCTGACGCTCTTCTGCAGCTCTTGAGGTTGCAGCTCTTCGGGGTTGAGGTTCTTGTCTCATGCCCAGGAAGAATGAGGGACACAGACAG